TGTGCACAGGAGCTAGCAACAGGGAGCTCTTTATAAATTTTCTTTTTTTTTTTTTTTTTCCGAGACGGAGTTTTGATTTTGTTGCCCAGCCTGGATGTGTGATCGCTACAATGGTATGATCTCGGCTCACTGCAACCTCTGCCTCCTGGGTTCAGGCGATTCTCCTGCCTCAGCCTCCCGAGTAGCTGGGATTATAGGCATGCACCACCATGCCCAGCTAATTTTTGCATTTTTAGTAGACATGGGGTTTCACCATGTTGGTCAGGCTGGTCTTGAATTTCTGACCTTAGGTGATCTACCCGCCCCGGCCTCCCAAAGTGCTGGGATTACAGGCTTGAGCCACCACGCCTGGCTGTAAATTTCCCAATATAACACACGTCTCTTCTCGTAATTTGCCTTCATTCTTCTTGTTATGTAACTGAGCATCCTCAGATCTTCTGCCAGCCCCTGCCTGTCTCACTCACCCTTTCTATGTCTTCTTTCAGACTCTGCTGTACTTTCCTGGTGATCACTAGCTCTTATTAGTCACCACCAAACACCTGGGCAGAGCTGCCCCACCTGGGGGTCCTGCAGTCTGAGTACTAAGCTCACCTCTAGACTTTTTCCTGGTCTCCTCTGCTGTGTCTGCTCAAACACCCATTGTTATCATCAACCGTCTCTAGGATAGCCTTGGAAAAAAAAAAAAAAACTCGGAGAAAACACCCTTCAGCTGGGTGGCATAGGGACTGTTCAGCTGGAAGGAACTCAGCTCCTACACATTCCAGGGGAGGACCTCAAAGGACCAGGCAGGCAGACATCAGGAAAGGACCAGGAGAGGCACCAGGGGCTGTGACTCATGGTCCTGGATCTGTCCATGACCCAACATTGCTGCACAATTCACACTTTGGAAAGTCTGTGCTTCTCTAAGACAAAGCGGGCGGCCTCAGGGTCTCTGAGTCCTCAGATCATTGTGTACCTGTCTTGTGACACACACGCACCTGCTGTGGGCTTTAAGGACTCGGGTGGGCTGAGAGGTGCGAGATGCCAACTCTGATTGAAAGATGCCCGTGGAGGAATCACAGGTGCCACACAAGGCAATCTTCTCTCTGTTTTCTGCACAGCGGCGCCGCCCAAGCCCTTCATCACCAGCAACAACTCCAACCCTGTGGAGAACAAGGATGTTGTGGCCTTAACCTGTGAACCTGAGACTCAGAACACAACCTACCTGTGGTGGGTGAACAATCAGAGCCTCCCAGTCAGTCCCAGGCTGGTGCTCTCCAGTGACAACAGAACCCTCATTCTACTCAGTGTCACAAGGAATGACAGAGGACCCTATGAGTGTGAAATACAGAACACACTGAGTGCCAGCCGCAGTGACCCAGTCACCCTGAATGTCCGCTGTGAGTATCTTCTCTTCCTCTGTGGCCCCGGCTGCCAGCCCAAATCCACACAGCCTGAGGTCAGGCCTCTCAGTCCCTCTCAGGTCCGAGTACACAGACTCTTAACCCCAGACACCCAGGCTGGCCATGACTTCCTGCCCCAGGTAAACCTGGGCAGACCCAGCCTGGACCAGGAATACAAGAAGAGGAGCTGCTCCCGTCCTGGGAGGCTCAGGGTCCATAGTTTGTTATTGGAGAAGCAGGTGAATGTCTCAGGCTCCAGCTCCGTGAACACAGCTGGGGTTTGGTTGGGACTTCAGGGTGGTGACTTGGGTAAGAGGGACACTGCGGCCCTTCCACAGACCAGGAGCTTCCGCTTCCCTCACCTATGGCTTTATTCTCTTTTGCTCCAGGTGGCTTGGACACCCCCAGGCACATATTACAAGTTAGGAGCAAACACCAGGCTCTTTAGCCATGTAGCTTCTAAGCCACCGCACAGTATTTTTGGCTGAGTGATGAAAAGCTTCTGCAACACATGCAGGAACTCTTCTTCCCCAAAGCACTGCAAAGAATAGCATGTCCTGTACCTGCCGAGCCTATCAACTGGCCACTGGCCGCAAGAGGACCGCAGTCAAAATGATCACAGTCCATGGTGCATGGGCCCCTGGACCCTAAGGAACCTGTCCCAGGGCTCCTGACTCCAGGTGACCCTAAGGAATCTGTGCCAGGGCTCCCAACTCCAGGTGACCCTAAGGAATCTATCCCAGGGCTCCCAACTCCAGGTGACCCTAAGGAACCTGTGCCAGGACTGGGTTGTGGCCTCCTGGCTGACCTGACTGGGAGCAAGGATTTGAGCTGTTTGAGGACCGTGGCTCAGGGAGCTGGTCACCAGCCAGGGCCCAGCCCCCAGGGCCTCATCTGGGCAAGGACAGAGCCTCATTCTTCACCTGAGACTCAGCCCCAGGAGAGGACAGATGCACAGGATTACTAGGACCTCAGCCCCCTGGAGGAGGAACTTAAGAGAGGTCCTGGCTGGGGGGGTCAGTGTCTTCAGGGCAGAAAGAGAAGGACGATTCTGCTGTAAGCTCCTTTTACACCAGGAATCAGGCCCAAATCGCCCACTCCTGGAGGCAAACAGATGCTGCTCTTCTACTCA